GAACATAGAGTGAAAACACAACAAAACAAACAAATAAACCCCAAAACAGAAAAAAAGCACATAGATATAATACAAGGGGTGGCAGAAACTGTAAATATAGAGCTTAAGTAGAGAAGATAAGGTTAAGGAATTGGATGAATAGTGGAAGAACTATTTAAAATAGAGGAAAGAGAAAAGAAAAAGCAAGAGGAAAAAAATATTTTTTGAAAAGGAAAATAGAGGAGAAAGCAGATAGAACTAAATTAAGGAAGTGAAACAAGTTAAAAAATTAGGAGAAGAATAGGGAATGGGAAGATAGAAAAAAATTGCATAGGAAGAAAAAGAAATGAGGAGGGGAAATGGAGTAGGATCAGGGAAAAGGAAATTATATATATTAATAAACCAACAGAGACCAGAATTATAACACATCAACAAAGCAAATAAAGATCAATTTTAAAGAGGGGGAAGAAAGAAAGGAAAGGGAAAACTAAAACCAACAAAGGAGAGCCGAAACCGGTTTGGCTCAGTGGTAGAGCGTCGGCCTGCGGACTGAAGGGTCCCGGGTTCGATTCCGGTCAAGGGCATGTACCTTGGTTGCAGGCACATCCCCGGTAGGGGGTGTGCAGGAGGCAGCTGGTCGATGTTTCTCTCTCATCGACATTTCTATCTCTCTATCTCTCTCCCTTCCTCTCTGTAAAAAAATCAATAAAATATATTTAAAAAAAAAAAAAAAAAAAAAACCAACAAAGGAGAAGAAAAACAGGATAAAAAAAAAGAAAAATTAAAAATAAAATCCTATATAATAAAGAGGTAATATGCAAATTGAGCATCACTTCAACACACAAGATGGCCACCCCATGTGGTCAAAGATGGCAATCCCCATATGGATACAAGATGGCTGCCTCAAGATGGCAGGACAGTTTCGGATGATTAGGCCTGCATGGGAGGGCAGTGGGGTAACCAGGCCTGCAGGAGAGGACAGTTGGGAGGGACCCAGGCCTGTAGGGGAGGACAGTTGGGGGACCCAGGCCTGCAGGGGAGGGCAGTTAAGAGTGACCAGGCATGCAAGGGAGGGCAGTTTGGGGGGCACCAGGTAAGCAAGAGAAGTTGGGGGTACCAGGCCATTGGGGGGGGGCAGTTAGGGGGTAACCAGGACTGCAGGGGAAGACAGTTAGGGGCAATTGGGACAGCTGGGGATGGCAGTTAGGGGTGACCAGACCAGGAGGGGAGGACAGTTAGTGGTGACCAGGTCTTCAGGGAAGGGTAGTTAGGGGTGACCTGGCTGTAAGAGGAGGGCAGTTAGGGGAAATCAGGATGGCAGAGGAGCAGTTGGGTGTCTATCAGGCTGTCAGGGGAGTGGTTAGGGGGTGATAAGGCTGCAAGTAGAAATTGTTAGGGGCAATCAGGCAGGCAGAAAGCAAGTGGTTAGGAAGCAACAGTCCTGGATTGTGAGAGGATGTCTGACTGGTGGTTTAGACCTGATCCCGGTAAACCGGCAGTAGGACATCTTTTGAGGGATCCCAGATTTGAGAGGGTGCGGACTGGGCTGAGGGACACACACAACCCCCCCCCCCCCCCCCCCGCTTGCATGACTTTTGTGCACCAAGCCTCTAGTGTATAATAAGAAAATAAAAAAAAAATTTAATGATATGTTTCATCCACATTTTAATGCCCCATGGGAGATGGTTTAGTACCCTAACTCTTCTGTCTGTCTGCCAATTCTGGGCTTCCTGTTACTTAGGTGCTAATCATTGTCAGGCCCTGTCTTTTGACTTTTAGCACCCTGCTTGAAGCTCTAGGAAATCCACTGGTCCTCTGCTTATTTCTATATCCATAGACCTTGGCTGCAAACAGGAAGGGCAATCTGCTCTCTTTATCTGACCAAGCTTTAGGGCTTTAGGTGAAATTGAGTTTTGATATCAGGGAATATGATTGTTCTTTGTTTAGTTTTTTCCTATCCAAGAGCAACTCCGTGAGTGGCCCAAAACATTACTCTGCCCTTGGTTGAACAGAGATCCTTGTATGTACCGTATTTTCTGGCGTATAAGACGACCCCCCCTAATTTTACAGTTAAAACATAGGTTTGGGCCTATATTCGCTGTATAAGACTACCCCCCACTTCCGAGGCAACACCAGTTCTTTTTTTAATAGACCACCTCTCTGACTCTGGCCAATCTGAGCAGGCTTTTTTTCATTTCAAAAGTCATCTTATACACCGGAAAATATGGTAGACTAATGAGGTTGGCTGGCAACCTGGGTTTTTTTTTTTGTTTGTTTGTTTGTTTTTGTTTGTTTTTTTTTTGTCAATCTGGTTCCCAGAATAGTCAGGTGGGCAGCCCCTTTTCCAATTCAGTCACGAAGGCTTTCTTGAGACTATTCAGACCCATAAGCTTGACCTTTGCCTTTGTTTCCTTGGTAAAGCTCAAAATGCAGGGTATGGCAGGCTGTATGTCCTGCCCTGAGGTTACTGGGAGGGGCTAGATCCTCTGGGGAGAAATGGCCACTTAGGTTTGGAAGCCTAGGAATATTCTAAGGCAAGACTCCTGGCTACCTCTCTCTGCCCTGCTTCCTTCTCCACCTCTCCTCCAGCACCTCAAGTCCATGTCTCCTTCTCTGTGCCAAAGCCTCAGGTGGGTGATGCCACTGAAAGGTCCTGTTTCTGAATTTAAAGAATAAAAACAAAAACACAACAAAACAAAAACAACAATGAAACCACGATTTTCTCTCCTCCTATCACTGAGCTGTTTTCCCCTTTTGGTGCAGATTTTTGCAGGGCCGCCTTTCAAGGTACATATTTATCTTTCTCCTACTGGCTTATTTCATTTAGCATAATGCTCTCCAGTCCCATGCATGGTGTTGCAAATGGTAAGATTTATTTCTTTTCATAACAGCACAATTTACAATAGCCAAGATTTGGAAACAACCAAAATGCTCATCAGCAGATGAGTGGATTAAAATTATATATTTTTAAGAAAAAAAAATTAATTGATTTCAGAGAGGAAGGGAGAGAGAGAGATAAAAACATCAATGATGAAAGAAAATAGTTGATGGCTGCCTTCTGCACACCCCCTATTGGTAATCAAGCCCACAACCTGGGCATGTGCCTTTAGCCAGAGTCAAACAAGGACCCTTCAGTCTGCAAGCCGATACTCTATCCACTGAGCCAAACTGGCTAGGGTGGAATTATACCATTTTTTGTCAGATGAGAAAGAATATTTTTTTGCCACGGGGGTGAGGACATGAGTGGGGGGATGATAATGAGGGGATAAGGACACATATATAATACCTTAGTCAATATATATATTGTGTGTGCCTCAGAATCTTAGTAATTAGTTTATGTATGTTATGAGATGGAAAAGATTGAAAACCACTGATTTAAATTTTTATTTTCCTCAGGAATGTTTTGGAACTTTTAGTATAAGCCTTTTTCCTTTGTTAAATTTATCACTATATCATTATTTGCAATGCTATTGAAAGTAAAATTATTTATCTAATTTAGTTTTTGGATTATTCTCATATATAGAAGTAAAATTGAGCTCTGTTTTATGTGTTCAGCAGTAAAATTTTATGCATTTGTCTTTTAACTAGTTAATTGAAGAAAAGTGTAAAAAATGTAGTGTCATTTATATTTATTGAAATAATTACCTAAAAGCTGTTTTTTTATATCTTCATGTAGATGTGAGTTACCACCTAATATCATTCTATTTCACACTGAAGTATTTCCTCCTGTATTTCTTTAAGACAAGTTTGCTAATATAACAACAAAATTTCTTAGTTTCTTTTTACTTGGGAATGACTTTGTTTTATCTTTATTTTTAATAATTTTCTGGGTATAAAAATCTTGGTTGTGAATTTTGTTTTTAGCACTTTGAAAATATTATTCCACTACCTTTATTCTACACTCTTTGTAATGATAAGTCAGATGTTAATCTTATTAATAGTTTTATTGAGATACTAGAGGCCCGGTGCATGAAATTCATGCACAGGGAAGGGGTGTCCCTCAGCCTAGCCTGTACCCTCTCTAATGTGGGACCCCTTGAGGAATGTCTGACTGCCAGCCTGGTCACCTCTAACTGCCCTCCCCTTCAAGTTTGATCACCCCCAACTGCCCTCTCTTGCAAGCCTGGGTCCCTCCCAACTGCCCTTCCCTGCTGGCCATCTTGTGGTGCCCATCTTGTGTCCACATGGGGCAGGATCTTTGACCACATGGGGACAGCCATCTTGTGTGTTGGAGTGATGGTCAATCTGCATATTACTCTTTTATTAAATAAAATAGAGGCCTGGTGCATGGGTGGGGGCCAGCTGGTTTGCCCTGAAGAGTGTCCCAGATCAGAGTGGGGGTTCCCTTGGGGTGTGGGGCAACCTTGGTGAGGGGCCTGTGGTGGTTTGCAGGACAGGGAAATCCAAGCAGAAGCTCTGGTATCTGGGATTTATTTATCTTCTACAATTGAAACTTTGTAACCTGGAGCAGAGTCAAGCCTTTTGCCTGTTCTATGGTGACAGGGGATTTATTTATCTTCTATAATTGAAATTTTGTAGCTTTAAGCAGAGGCCTGGGCCAACCAGGGTGTCTGAAAGCTTGGCTTCCTCTATCACGGGGAAACCCAAGTCACCTTCCTGCTCTTTCGTTGGTTGCAGCCATCTTGTTTGGGTTAATTTGCATACTCGCTCCTGATTGGCTAGTGGGCGTGGTTCGTGGGTGTAAGGGAGTGGTGGTTAATTTGAATATTACTCTTTTATTAGATAGGATAATTCACATACAATTTACTCATTTAATATGCATGATTCAATGGATTTTAGTACACATTCACAGTGTTGTGCTTTCATTACCATACTCAATTTTGAAACATTTTAATTATGGGGGGAAGAAAACCTCAACACCCCTTAACCATCACATTCCAATATTCTTATACCTCCAAATTTTTAAATGTTATATTGCTATTGGCAACTAACTCACTGTGTGTTAAAAGTAATTATAAACAATCTATATTATATCTAACATATTTTCTAAATATTTCTAGGCAGAACTTATGAAGAAATTTCACCCCACATGAATGAACCTTCATACTTACATCAGAGAACATCTAGTACTAGGTCAAGCATTTATAAAACTATCCGTTTTCCTTCACTGACTAAAGAATCTCCAGGTAAGAATTAATATATATTAGTGTAAAATATGACTTTTTAAATTTATAAAGTTTTAATTATGAAAACAATCAGATTGTGTTATCCTTAGTAATAATATAATAGTTTAGCAAAACATAAGTGGAGGTAAATGCATTCTTAGTGGATGATTAGTGTCTGTCATGGCTCTTCCTTCACCACTATCACTAAATTAAAACACTGTTTTTCCTTTTCTGCAACATTGCTTTCTTGCTCCATGATAGATCTTGCAGATGACTGAGATAAACTCAGCTTATAATCCTCTTCCTTATATGTTTCTCTTTTATCCAATCTAAGATAGGGTTTGCAATATAAAGACTTAACATGAGGATTGGTGGGAAGAAAAATAAACATTAAGTTTATTTCCCTTCATTACCATTTCCTCATCCATCTAATCTACTAATATCTAACTTATTTACAGACCCTATTTATTATCCATTGCTCCAAAAGCATTACTTAAACATTAGCCTAGTATGTTTCCTACAGATATTGAATTTGAATTTTTTTTAAATGTAGATGATATTTCTTTGATCTATTATGTTCTCTAAAACCCAAAATCTATAATAATAACAATGTAATATGCTAATTAGACCAAATAGCCAAACGACCTTCTGGATGACCTTCCAGATGAAGCCAGGGATGCCAGGGCTGAGGAAGCTGCCACAGCTGCAAGGGTGAAGCTCCTTGCAGAAATTTCATGCATCAGGACTCTAGTAATTATATATGCTAGCAATATTTTTGCCAGTTTTTATTCTATCTCCATTTCTCTTACTATCATCTCTATTAGCTACATTTTACATTTTACGAATCTATGTTTTACAGGTTTGGGCAAAAGTAGGTTTACAGTAATGAGTATGCAAAACAGTTTATTCTCATATTATTATGTATTAATTCTTGTACTATTTTCCATACAAATAACTATAAAACTAACTTCGCTGCACACCCTGTATAATTCAGAGATAACTTAAATTTGACTGGTAATTAAAGTAAGATATATTAGGCAAACAAACCTGCAAAATTAAAAAATAATTATTATATGCTTTTATGTTCAAATAAGCTATATTCTTCTTCCTACTTACTGTAAGATCGTGAAATCAGAATATTTTAGCACATTTTAGAAAAATGTAATTGATTTTACATTCACCATCCATTTTATATCACTTACAATACTGCTTTCCATTTATGTACCTCCTAGTTTTGCCTACAATTCTGGTTTTCTCTTCTAAGCCTTCTATTTGACAGAATTATTAATTATAAACAGTAGTATTGCCTAACAAAACAAAAAAAAGAGAGTAAGAATTAACAAATAATCCACTATCCAAATTTTTACTCCATACTTAGAGAACAATAATAATGGTGTGTGTTTTTGTGTGTGTGCATGGTGTGGATTGAATGAAAATGATGATACATACATGAATCTATTTTCCAGCATAAGTTTTTAATCTAAAAGTAGTGGCAGCTAAACATTTTAAAATAAATATTTGCCTTAAAATTGAAAAGTTGAATGATCTATTTCTTTGCAAGACATGCATTATGGGAATTCAACACAGTAACACATAAAAGATAGTACTTTTTCACATTAAAGCTGAAAAAGTTTCTTCAAAATGCCCATGTTCTGCTTTTTTATAATGTATTTTTCTCTAAATGAGCATGTTCAAACTATTTTTATTATTGCACCGTTTATTACAATGCTCAAAATATGTATTTTTACATCATTTCTAAGCATCACTCCCTCTATTATAGACTGAATTTTTTACTATGGGACTATAAATTTCTTTTTAAGTGAGTATATGCTGTTGCAAATAGAAATAACAACTTTATCTGATAATTTACTTATTGAATTATTAAAGTTTGGGGTTTTTTTTACTTTCCTACTATAAAAAAAAAGTTATCTACCTGGCATTTTTATTTGCAGAATATCTTCTTTATTTGCATTCTTACTAGTTATGTTCATAAACATCAAGTACTGAGCAAGGAAAAAGCAGAGAGAAAATATTTTTGTTAGTAAAGCTGTGTTATCTAAATAATTAGAAAAACATAAGGAAGTTATGGTTTAGAAGTGGATTAAAATTTATTTTTAACATTTTAAAGGTTCAAATTAGGTCATTTCTAGGGTAATTTATTAATAATATTTTATTTTTTAGGGCATCCAAAAAAATTAATCTCAAACAAAAAAAATTTTGAAGAGACAAATACTCTGCCTGTTGTGATCCCTAAACAAAGGAAATCTATCTATAAAGGTAAAGAATCACTTCTAATGCAATATATGAAATAAAGCATTGTACTGTTTTCATAGTGTCTATTTACTAATCACCTCAAAACTATGGACCCCTTTCCCAGACAACTAATCTTATGAGCCAAGTTATTTTTCCAAACGTTTCTTCAAACTTGTGTGTATGTATGTGTGTGTGTGTGTGTGTGTGTGTGTGTGTTTTCTAATTATACAATAACTAGAGGCCCAGTGCGTGAAATATGTGCATTTGGTGGGAGTAGTCAGCCTGGTCTGCGCCCTCTCTCAATCCGGAAGCCCTTGGGGGATGTCTGACTGATGGCTTAAGCCCACTCCCTAAGCTGCAGTCAGACATTCTTAACTCTGCTGTGAAGGCAGGAGAGGCTCCGACCTCCACCACTGCACTCGCAAGCCATCAGCCCTGCTTCTGGCTGAATGGCGCTCCCCCTGTGGGAGTGCACTGACCACGAGGGGGCAGCTTTAGCATTGAGCGTCTGCCCCTTGGTGGTCACTGTGCATCATAGTGATGGTCATTCCACATTCAATCCGTTTGTATATTAGCCTTTTATTATAGAGGATAGGATCATATGCATGGATCCTCCTTATCTCTAATCCAGGTATATGGATATAGATATGTTTTAATCTTTCAGAACCTTTAAATTATTGAATAATATTTTATAATATAAATGTGCTATTCAACCATTTCTCTATTGGATGATATTTATAATTTTTACCAATTTTTTTACTCCAAGGCCAGTTTGGCTCAGTGATTAGAGTATTAGTCCACAGACCAAATGGTCATGGGTTAGAATCCATTGCACATACTTGGTTGCAGGCTCTATCCAATCTATTTAAGTGCTTGTGGGAGGCAACTAATCAATGTGTCTCTCACATCAATGTGTTTTTTTTTTTTTCTCTCTCTCTCCCACTCCTCCCTCCCTACATTCTCTCTTTAAAAAAATCAATGGAACATGTATCCTCTAGTGAGAATTTTTTGAAATTATTTTTACTACTACAAGCAATCGGGAAATAAATATCATTATGCCTAAATATTTATACTGTGATAATTGTATTTCTAAAGGCCATATAAACTGGAATTACTGTATTAATGGGTATATGTGTCTTTATTTTAATATATACATATTGACAAATTACTTACTAAATTTAGTTAATAATTCTCCTAGCAAATTCATAAAAGATTTATTTCCCACATATTAGTCAGTACTAGACTTTTATAGAATGGCAAACAATATTGTTAAGAAGTATTGTACTACAGATTTTGTGCAATTTCTATCAAAATTTCACTGATATTTTTTGAAGAAATAGAAATATCCATTTTAAAATTTATATGCAATCTTAAGGTACTTCATATTTCAAAGCTTACTTCAAATCTACATTAATCAAACCAGTGTGGTAGTGACATAAATACAGATATATAATCGATGAAATAGAATAGAGGACTCAAAAAAAAACCAAAAACCCTCACATATATACTGAAATAATTTTTTACAAGAATGCCAAGACTATTCAATGAGAAAAGGAGAATTGTAGCAACATAACATGCTAAGAAAAGTAGATATCCACAAGCAAAAGAGTGAAATTGGACCTTTACCTTACACCATATGCAAAAATTAGCTTAAAATAGATTAAAGACCTAAAAATAAGTGCTGAGCTATAAAATTCTTAGAAGAAAACATATGGCAATCTTTTTCTTTTTTTAATTAAATTTTATTGGAGTGACATTAGTCATCATGAACATATAGGTTTTGTGTGTGGATTATTAATTTAAAAAATTTGTATATAGGACCATGTGCCCACCACCCAAAGTCAAATCTTCTCCTGTCACCTCATTCTCCCTCTACTTTCCTCCCTCTGACAACCAGCACATTGCTGTTTGTGTTCAGAAGTTTGAGTTTTATATTCCACAATTGAGTGAAATCATATAGTTCTTAGCTTTGTCTGACTTATTTCACTTCGCATAATGTTCTCAAGGTCCATTCAGGTAAAGGTCCATTATGACCGTGTAGTACTCCATTGTGTGTATATATACCACATCTTCTTTATCCAGTCCTCTATTGCAGGGCGCTTTGGCTGTTTCTAAATTTTGGCCACCATGAATAATGCTGCAATATTTTCTTGAATATGACATCAAAGGTACAGTCAAACAAAGAAGAAATAGGCAAATTTCATCAAAATTTAAAAATTTCCTAACAAATGACAATAATAATAAAGTAAAAGGCAAACCACAGAATGGGAGAAAATATTTATAAATAACATATCTGATCAGCTAATATACAAAATATAGACAGAACTTATAAAACTCAATGAAACAAAATAATTGCAAACAAAATACTTGATTAAAAAATGAGCAAAAAACTTTAATAGATATGTATTTCTCCAATGAAGATATACAAAGAGCCATAGGCACATGAAAATATGGTATACATTTCTATTCATTAAGGAAATGCAAATAAAAACCACAATAATATATCACTTCATACCTAACAGTATAGCTATTACTGAAAATAAAGAAATAAAAAAGAGAGGAAAGGAAAAAGAGAAAAAATATGAGTTGGCTAAGATGTGAAGAAATTAGCACTCTTGCTGGGTTGTGAAATGGTGCAGCTGTAATGAAAAAAACAGTATGGTGATCCCTCAAAATATTAAAAATGGCATTACCATATGATTCAAATATTCCACTCCAGATATATACCCAAAAGAATAAAATGCAGAGATATGAACAGATATTTTATGACAGCCAAAAGATAGAAGCAATCCAAGTGTCCAACAGTGCTAAATGGATTTTTAAGCTACTGTGAAAAATTAATCTCCTTATTTAATTTTGGTCTATTAAGATTTTCCATTTCTTCATGATTCGGTTTAGTTAGATTGTATATTTCTAGGAATTTATTCATTTAATCTAACTTACCTAATATGCTGGTATATAATTAATGGTAGCTTTATTATCTTTTATATTTCTGTAGTATAAGTAGTATTGTCTTTCTCTTTTGTTTAGCATTTTATTAATTTGAGCTATCTATTTTTTTCTTAGTTTTCCTGAAGTTGGTCAATTTTATGTTTCAAAAAAACAAGTCTTAATTTTATTGATTTTTTTTCTATTGTTTTACTAGTCATTTTCTTTTCTTTTTTCCATTTTGCTCTAATTTGTATTATTAAATTCCTTCTGCTAAATTTAGAATTAATTTGTTGTTTCTTTTCTAGTTTCTTGAGATGTAAACTTAGGATATTTATTTGAGAGCTTCCTTGTTTCTTGATCTAGTCATTTGTCTCTAAAACCAGGAGTGCTCTTGCTGAATCTCATAAGTTTTGGTATTTTATGTTTTCTTTTTTGTGTACTACTAGATTTTTTAATTTTCCTTTGATTTTTTTCTTTGACCAATTGGTATGTTGTTTAATTTCCAAATATTTGTGAACTTCCCAGCTTTCCTTCTGATTTTTGGTTTCATGAAATTGTGATCAGAAAATATTTGATATAATTTCAATCTTCTTAAATTCTTAAGACTTGTTTTGTGACTTAATATATGCTCTAATTTGTAGAATGTTCCATGTACACTTGGAACAATGAAAATAGCTCTAGGAAGAGCTATTTCCAAAATACATCAGCACATCCAAATCTAAGAATAATGGGAGGCAGGGTAGGAGAGATACTTTTTTTCTGTTGCTTTGAGTGCTCTACATGTCTATTAAATGTATATAGTCTAAAGTATAGTTCAAGTCCATTATTTACTAATTAATTTTATTTCTAAATAGTCTATTCTTGAAGGTGGGTTATTAAACTCCTCCAAATTTATTGCTTTGCTAGCTACTTTTAACATCCCCTGGCTGCCAGCACCAGCTTCCCTCTGGCCACTGGCAGTTCACCTGGGACCCAGGCTTCCCTCACAGCCCCAGCTTTGTCCGGAGGTTGTCCAGAAGAAAAGTCTGAAAGGACATCTGGTCTAATTAGCATATTACACTTTTATTATTATAGAGTTTTATATTTTCCTTTTTTTTTTTTTTTTTTCATGTTTCAGCTTGAGGAACTCTCTTCAGCATTTCTGTAAGGCAGTTCTAGGAGTGATAAATTCTTTCACTCGAAGGTGGATGTGAGGTCACTGACTGGCAGGGGTGCATTATCTATGGTTCTTGGGAGAACATTTCACCAGCTGAAGGCAATGTTGGGGAACACTGATGGAGTCTCCTGTGGCCAAGACTGGAAAGGTCCTGTAGGTGGCAGTAGCAACTAAGGCTCTTAGGGTTCTTGGAGGTAAAGGCTGCTGTGGTCTTCTCCTTTTTTTGCCCATAGGAGGTAGTTCTCACTGGGGATCCTCCTGATGCCAGATCTGGTGTGCTAGCACTCATATTAGCAGTAGAGACAATCCTGGGATCAGTTGCACATGGAGCTATCACAATGCCTGGGTCCTGGAACAAAGGTACTAATGGCAGTGGCACTCGTGTCTGAGGTGTGGACATATGCTGATTTCCAGTAGAACTAAAGTCTAGGTCTCTTGAATTCACTGCAGGAATTGGAAGGAACCTAGCAGCCATCTGGACTCTGGGGTGACAGCGTGCAGTGGTGGCTTGGGCTCAGGGAGCAGGATACAGTAGCATCACGGTCGGGAATGGTGGGTTGAAGTCTGAACTCTGGCCCGAGGGATCAGTCACAGAAAATAACAGTATGTCCAGGGGATGGTCTGTTAAAGCCATCCCCTGGATGTAGTATAGATCAGCAGCAACTTGACCAGTGATGTCAAGTCAAAGGCACAACCTAGGGCCTGGGGTAAGGCTCAGAGCAGTGGCAACTCCTCTGGTTCCATAAATTATAATATGGTGTGGCTTCCAAGTCTCAGAAAATGTGGTGCAGCAGCTATAGGTGTCCCTGAGGACAGTTCTCATCACAGCCACAACTTCAGCCATGAATAGATAGGGGGCTCGGAGGCAGTCCAGGCAGCTCTATCAGTTAGGATCAGCGTTGGTGAACACTCTGGGAATCTTCTATAGCAAAGGCTGCAAACATCCATGGCAGTGAGTTATGCTGTGGTTCTCTTGCTCGCCTTTTCCTCTGGAGTAAAATCTCTCCCAGGAATTCCCTCCTGGCTGCCCTGAACTGGATGATAAGGTGACTCAGGCAAAATGCTCCCTATGCTTTTTTATGCAACCATTTTTGTTTTTTGAGCTCCTCAAGATTTCTGCTGCTTTTCTTTATAGGGCAGAAATAGCTCTTCCTAGAGCTATTTTCATTGTTTACTCATTGTTTTTGTGTTTTTTGTTGGAGAGATTAGCACTGGGACCTCCTGTACATCTATCTTGCTGATGTCACCTTTATTATTATTTATTCAAGAAAGCATGATCTTTCCTGTTCATTAATTATTAAAGCATAGTAATATATCTTCCAATTCATATCAGCACATCCAAATCAATCTAATTCTTTTTAAGACCTTTATAGTTGAGCATACTATAGTATATTTAGCTAGACCTCTGTTAAATGGGTTCTTTCCAGTTATTTTATAACAAACAATCTTACATAATAAAACCCTAATATACAAATCCACCAAATGGCAGAACAACCGGCAGAAGGACCAATCACTATGGCGTGCACTGACCATCAGAGGATAGATACTCTGCATTGAATGTCTGCCCCCAGAGAGGGAGGTGACTGGCAACGACAATCAAAGGGCAGGTTTGGCCAGCGGGCAGTGTCAGGCCACCAGCCAGTGTGGGTGCCAGCGGGAGCCCCCCAATTGTCCTGCCTGCCAGTTTCCCCACAGATGGCTCTGATTTCCAGCCAGGCCTAGGGACCTTACCCAATATATCAGGAACAGTCTCTTAGGTTTAAACATTAAAACCTGGCAAGGCTCCTCTAACACTAACAAATCAGGATGATGCAGCAATGACATGCATAGACTCTGGCTTGCACATTTTATGGTCAGCTATGATTCTGACACTTATAACTGTGTGACAAACCAATTACTTAACTTCTCTCTGCTTCTGTTTTTCTACCCATAAGGTGGGGGAAATGGTATTATTGCCTCAGAAGGATCATGTTATGTACTACTTTTTATAATCAGGGCAAAAAATGTAGCTGCCAATACAACAGCAAGGTGCCTTTCACCTATATGGAAAGTATGATCACTGGTGCATATAGCGTTCTGGATTGTGAGAAGGATGTCCAACTGCCAGTTTAGATCTGACATCCCCCCTGGGGTCCTGGATTGCGAGAGATCACAGGCAATGTTGAGGGAACCACCACCACCCCCCATGCACATATTTTGTGCACCAGACCTCTTCTCTCTCTCTCTCTCTCTCTCTCTCTCTCTCTATATATATATATATATATATATATATATATGTATATATATATATATATATATATATATATATATATATATATATATATATATATATATAAAAGGCTAATATGCAAAGTGTCCCCTCTGGAGTATGACCAGGAGACCAGGAGTTCGATTGTTCACTATTACGTGCACTGATCACCAGGGGCCGGCATGGAAAGAAGAAATGCCCCAGCCAGCAGCTGGCAACTGGAGAAGGAAGGCCTGGCTGGCAGTCAACAACAGTGGAAGGAAGGCCGCAAGGCCCCAGCCAGCAGCTGGCAGCCAGGGAAGGAAGGCCCTGGCCATACCCAGCAGCTGGTAGCTGGGGAAGGAAGGCCCTGGCAGGCAGCCAGAAGGCCCTGATTGGTCCTCATCACTGGCCAGGCCTAAGGACCCTACCCATGCACAAATTTAATGCGCCAGGCCTCTAGTGTTGCAATAAAGATCATTGGAATAAATAAATATTTTATAATCCAGTCTTGGTTTCCATTATTTCAAAATGCTTCTACTACATAAAAGGAATTGCTGCTATTTTCTCCCTGGCACTAATTTCTTTTGATCTCTTTTATTACAGTTCATAAATTGGCCTCTCAGTTAAAACTGTCTTTTCAAAGAATCATAGATATATTAAACATATACATTTTATATATTCAGTTCAAAAATTGGCTTTCAGTTAAAACTGACTGATGTTTTTGAAGAACCATAAGCATATTAAGCATACGCATGTTATGTTTACCAAAAAAAACAATATTGCAATGAACTTGAACTTTTAAAATTTTCTCTTTTCTATAAATGTTTCTCAAAAGTTTGACTGCTGGATTAGCAGCCTGTGCATTAACTGGAAAGCTATTAGAAATACAAAGTATTGGATCCTACTGCAAACTTACTGAATCAGAAGCTGTGGGATTTGAGTTAAGCAATTCATTTTAACAAGTCCTCTGGGTAATTCTGATGCAGGCTAATATTGGAGAATCATTATATTATATTATATACTCTGTTCCAAGTTAAGTATGTCCCGGTATAATTTCTATAGAAACATAGATAGTGATTAAAACTAGAGGCCTGATGAATGAAATTTGTGCAAGAGGGGGCCTTCCTTTCCCTGACTGCTGGCACCAGCTTCCCTCTGGCACCCAGGACATGGGCTTCCCTTGTAGCCCCAGCTTTGTCCAGAAGGTAAACCAGAGGGATGTCCAGTCTAATTAGCATATTATGCTTTTATTATCATAGATATGTACTTCTTTTCCATTTCCAATGTTACTATTATTAACATGTGATGATATTCTGTTTTCCATGATGTCCTATGTAATAAAATTTACATAAACTATAATGAAATTAAGTAAAGTATTTTTAAAATCATATAACTTTTTTTTTTTAGAGCCACCTACCACTGCTGGAAAACATTCAACATATCTTTACTCTTGAGAATTAAAAGCTAAGCAACATATACAAATCAATGAAGACAACAATGAAAAGTGCAAGTATGGAAGCCTTATGAAAATAACACTGATTTAAGTTGATGATGCTTACTAAGCAACAATGAGAAATACCCTGAGTAAACAGCGTAGGCTCAGATCATGAGGGTCTTAATCTGCAACAGGTGAGTTTATATATTTGCATTGCTTTCTTTTTTTTCTTTTAAAAAATTATAGCTATCTTTTAAATCACAAATGATGAAAATATTAAGCCTATTCAAAATATTAATGTTGGAACATTGTACAACCAATTTCAAAAAGGAAAAGAAGCAAACACAAATGCCTCATAACCATAACCTGATTGAAATGTGCTAGAGCGTATTCTGTAGAATTTGTAATGGCACAAATACAACTGCTAAGATTTTAAAGACATGATTTTTGTTGATCAATATTAATAGCATTAAAATATTATTTTGAATCACATTTTTATTGTAGCCTGAACAGCATAAATATGAGATTATATTGAAAGCAATCTGGATTATCACTGGCATAGGTATTTAAGTTTATATAACATTATTTTGTACCTGGAATGTAAGTATATTTCTCCAACATGGACTAGATCCATGAACAATAGTATTAATCTAAATACTTTGGAGATCTGTTTTATGTAAAAAATTAATAAGAAAATTGGGTTTCTATAGAACAATATAAAGTAATATAAAATTAATAAAATAATGGCTATACTCTAAAATCTCTCATTGTAAAGCTATGTTACACTTTATATAATAGTAAAAATGTAAAATTTATAAAGTAAGAAACCACGAATTGAGCATAAGTATCAGTCAATAGGAAATCAGTGGCTATCTATTACTAATGACTATCTATTCTCTGAAACTGAAAGATACCAAAGGTAATATGAAGATAAAATGAATGAATAACTCTTTTGAGGGTTTTGAAGGCATATATGCAGAAATGAATAGGAAACTAGTTCTTGAAGCTTACCAATTGGGTTGTGAGCAATGTAAATATTATGTTTCTTTCTAGAATTATTTTTCCAAGGCTTAATTCAGCATAGCAGCATTCCCCCATGACTGGAGATTGCTGGGATTATCTAAATAAGATCCAATCCAGCTTCTCAGTTTGCTGCCATGAACTATCCAGATAGTAGTGCTATTTATATGTTAATCATATGATCTTTTGACTAAATGAGCTAGTATATGTGCTCAATCAGTTATCCTGAAGCCTGTCTACAAAATAGGATTCACTTGAAGTGCTTTTAAAAAACACGATTTCTCAGCCTCTATAACCAGATCAATTAAACCAAATTCTCTATAGATTATTCAAATATGCAGCCAGAGTTGAGAAATCAACTAATAGCCAAACCTATATACAAATGATTGCAACTGATTTTTTAATCTAGATTTTTAATGCTTTGGGTGAAATGTTCTGAAGATGTCAGTTAATTCCATCTGGTCTAGAGGGTCATTTAGGATTGATGTTTCTTTGCTGATTTTTTCTTTAGATGATTTGTTCAAAGGTGACAGTGAGGTATTATAACCTCCTACAATGATTGTATTGCTGTTAATCTCTCCTTTATTGTCCTCCAGCAGTTTTGTTTTGTTTGTTTGTTTGTTTGTTTGTTTTTATGTATTTGAGTGCTCGTGTATTGTGTGCATATATGTTTACAAGTGTTATTTCTTCTTGTTGGATTGCTCCCTTTAGTATTATGAAGTGGCCTTCATTATCTCTTATTATGTCCTTCACTTTGAGATCTAATTTGTCAGATGTAAGTATTGCCACCCCAACTTTTTTTTTCATTTCCATTCACATGGAAAACCTTTTTCCATCCTTTCACCCTCAGTCTGTGTACGTCTTTTTTTCTAAAATGGGTTTCTTGTAGACAGCAGATATATGGGTCTTGTTTTCTTATCCAATCTGTTACCCTATGTCTTTGATTGGAGCATTTAATCCATTTACATTTAAAGTTATTATTGATAGGTATTTATTTGTTGCCATTTTTATTCTGTACCCCTGTGTTCCTTCTTCATTTCCTATTTCTTTATTTTTACAGTAGATCCTTTAGCATTTCTTGCATTGCTGGTTTGGTGGAGATAAATTCCTTTAGTCTTTTTTTGTCTGGAGGCCCCTTATTTCATCTTCAATTTTGATTAATAGCCTTGCTGGATACAGTATTCTTTGATTCAAGCCCTTCCTTTGCATGACTTTGTATATTTCATCCCATTCCCTTCTGGCCTGATGAGTTTCTGTTGAGAAATCAGTAGCTAGTCTGATGGGGGTTCCATTATATGTAACTTTCTGTCTCTCTCTGGCAGCTTTTAAGACACTTTATCGTTGATGTTTGCCAATTTAATTATAATGTGCCTTGGTGTAAGTCTTCTGGGGTTCATTTTGCTTGGGACTCTGAGAGAATCTTGGATTTGTGTGGGTTTTTTCTTCTCTATCTCAGGAAAGTTTTCTATCATTATTTCTTGAAATACATTTTCCATGTATTCCTCAATTCCCTTTCCTTATGAAACCCCTATTACTCTAATATTGTTTTGTTTTGTATTGTCCCAAAGTTCCCTTAGGCTGTCCTACTGCTTTTTAATTTTTTTTTCTAGAAGCTGCTCTAATTGGGTATTTTTTTCCATCATGTCTTCTAGCTCACTGATGAGGTACTCTGCTTCTTCTAGTCTGCTCTTGATGCTTTCTATTGAGTTCTTCATAGTAGCAATGTCATTTTTCATTTCTTCTTGGTCCATCTTCATTTCCTCTTGGTTCTTCTTCATTTCCTCTTGGTTCTTACTCATATTGTCAAATTTGTTTTCCATTTTTTTTACCCATCTTATGATCATTACTCTGAATTCTTGCTCTGGTAGGTTGCTTGCCTCTAACTCGTTTACTTCCTTTTCTGGTGATGCCTGCTTTTCTTTCATGTGCATGCTATTTCTTTGTCTCTCCATGTTCTCTCTTTTCAGGATGTCTGGTTATGTAGATCTCTCTCTCCTGCATTGATTTAAAGGCACAAAATACAACACTACCAGGTACAACACACAAGGCACTGAACAGAAATGTATTTGAGATATTAATAACCTCCAATAACGGTGACCACTAGGGAAAGGCAAATTAGGGATAGGAGAGAAAGAAGAGTAAAAAGAGAAGAGGGAGGGAGCAAAAGAAAAAGATAGGAAAAATATATATTTAAAAAAAAAAGGAGTGTCAAAATGAAATTGGGAAACAGAGAGAAGAAAAAAGAAGGAAAGAGAGAGAGAGAGAGAGAGAGAGAGAGAGAGAGAGAGAGAGAGAGAGAGAGAGAAAGAGAAAGAGAAAAAGAGAGGGAGAGAGAGAGAGAGAGAGAGAGAGAGAGAGAGAGAGAGAAAAGAAAGAGACTGTGGGAGAAAAGGGGAACAAACTATATATATGGGGAGAGAATTTCAATAGAACAACCACTAACTTCAGCAAATGCTGGCAACAGTACCTGAGGAATAATACAATCTACACCCCCACTAATATCCAGTAAAGGAAGGGAAAACAGAAGGGAAAAAAAAAAAACAAGCAAATAAAAAATACCAAGCAACAGCAACAACAAAAGAATAAGCAAAATACTCTCACTAAAAAGCATAAAAATACAATATAATCAAAATTCACACAAACAGCATCAAAAGGACAGAGAAAAACAATTTTTTTTTTTTTTTTGGCTAGTTAATACAACTCAGGAGGGGAGTGTATGCACTTGGCACAGGGGATTGGAAATTAGATATATAAGTAGGGTAGAAATTTTAGCAGGGGGGGAGACAGAAAGAGTAGGGAAAATCTAGAGCAGGAAAGTGTTAAGATAAACAGGCTAGCAAAAGGGAGGTTAGAAAGAGAGTGATGGTGTAAAGGTTGTGTTGAGATAGGGTAAATGATGCCAAATGAGAAATGAAGATAGAATGAAGAACACTAATTCCAATGTAAAATAAAGAGAAAATAAAATGGCACTTAAAAATTTTAAAATAGCAGTAGTAATAATGCTGATTGAACCTAAAAATGTAATAATTAAAAAGTTAAAATCAAGTGAGGAAAAAATGAAAAAAAAAATTGTTTCTTAAGTAAAAGATGCAAAAAATGAAAATAAAATAAAAAATAAAAAAATTTCCAAAAACAGTGTGCAGTTGTGAAGGCCATTCACTTCTGTTATTCTGTTTGGCACGCCTGTTCCTCAGTCCAGACAGTATTGCAGTTCCCTGCGTTCCACTGCACCTCAGTGTTGTAAACTAGTCCTTCATTTTAAGATGGCGATTTCTTAGTTTCTTGGTTTTTGATCAAATAAAATTAGTAATAAACACAGTCAGTTTGTACTCCAGACCCTAGGTGGCAGTGTTTCTGGATTGATGTCCCTGTCTTTTTAGCTGCTCCAGCCTTCTTTTCCATGGCACTCAATACCGTTTTGTGTTGTTGTTTTTTTGCCTCGGAGCTGAATCCCGGATGATTTCTCCCTACTCTGCTTCTCCGCTTCCAGAAAAGCTGTTTCCCCCTGTCTTATCTCTGGGCCAGCCAGTCCGGGTGGTCTCTCCTTTGTAATCAGAATCAAAGGGTTGTAGGGGAACCAGCCTGATGGGCCAGTCTGTGCGCACTTACAAACAGACTGCATACCTTTCCAACTCCTATGTTCTCCCTCCCTGTCTGATCAGAATGGGTTGCTCCCTAGAGAACCCCACTATTAGCAACCTTGGGGACCCCCGTTCACTCTCTCGAATCATGCCAGACCCAACAGCAGGGGGCTTTTGTGGACACAGATTTCCGCGGTCCCAATGCAGGAGCTTTTGTCTCTGCCACTATAGCTGCCGCAGCTTCTGCACCTGCTGCTTTTGCTTCCGGGGCACAGACACCTCACGTTATCCCCGGCAAAATCCAACCTTTCTGTGGAGTCTGCGTGTCCGCACCGGTCGGGGCCCCACAGCTGTTCAGTGGTCTCCACAGTTGTGGTTTTTTTCAGGTCTCAGATAAGATCCCCAGTTGCAGCTCTGA